CTGCCGCGTGGAACGTTGTTACCCGAGGGGTCTCAAGAAAGGAGGTCAAGTGTTTGTGACAGCGTGAGACCTATTTTTAAACTTGTATTTACGTTAAAGTAAGACATCAGGGAGGAACCTAGCGTTTAACAGGGAATTTGTACGATTGCTAAAAGCAGAACATAGGAAAAATGACGTGAAAAATGGTGGGGTTTTTTGCCAGTTTTTCTTTTAACTTTCATAACAAGGAGCTTTACGGTTGAACTCTGTTTAAAAATTTTTATAGAAATATCGGCATTTATTATCTCAGTTTTGAAATAGTCTTAAGATTCCCAAATCATTTATGAATGACACACACACAAAAAAACACATTACTAGCAAAATATAATGCAAAATTAACCTTAAGAATCACTAAACATCAATTGTTTAAAAATTGTATAAATCTTTATATTGTACTCAGATCAAGTGGACAAAGTTTATTGGTCTACAGCATTTTACAATATTGTTGGAATTCCTTTGTAATAAGACTCCACTCAAAAGGGTCATTTGTATTTTTATTTAAAAAATTATATTACATTTACTAGTAACCCATGTTCGTGCTGCATTTCCATACAGTAAGTCCCAGTTTAGATAAGGGTCACTTTGTTGTTATTATTAAACCCATTTTAAGAAATATAAGCAGTTTTAGTTGTTTTGGTATAAAAGTCCAGGTCTTCACATGGATTAAAAAGTACCATATCTGTGTTTCGTTTTCAGATTGTCTGGTAATGGTGCCCTTACCAGGGGCATAAAAAACAAAGCCACTTTTAAGGGCATTTAATTTTCCATAGAGATTTTCTTTATTTTAATCTCATGTTTCAGGTAATGCTTTTTCAAACTGAGAAATGTACATTTTCGCGTCTTCTTGTAGTGTATGTGTTTTTTATTTCATGTTAAAAATTTCAAATCTTATTTACGTAAGAATTTTAAAGAAAATTATTATCACTTATTTCTGAAAGGGAAAAGTGTAGCTTAAAGTGAATGAGCGTTTGCCCCAGCTGGGCCTGACTTCGCAGTCCGAGCTCTTGACCAGCGAGGAAGTAGCCCTTGGTGCCGGTCATGGGGAGGTGCCTGCTCCGTGAAGCCAGGAGAGCACGTGGATTTAATTTCTTCTCCATCGTTCCGTTGTCTGTCATTGACCAGTCTTGATTGACCAGTCTTGATATCCAGGAAAGCTAGTCTTCCACCTCCTTGTCCGTCTGTCCACATTGGTATCTTACCTATACTTGACCCTTTGCATTTCCATATTAATTTTAGAATCAGCTTGTCAAAAAAACAAAAAAATAGTTGGGCTTTTGGTCAAGGTTGCATTAAATCAATTTGGGGAGAAATGGATATCTTTACAATCTGAATACCCCAATCCATGAACATGTTATATCTCTTTATTTACCTAGGTCCTCTTTAATTTCTCTCAATAATGATTATTTTTCTGTGAGAAGGTCTTTTATCTCTTTGATTAGATTTACTCCTAGGTGTCTGATGTTTTTTCTATGCTAATATAGATGGTATCTCTCTCTTTCTCTCTGTTTGTTTTGTTTGTAAATTACTTTTATTTGTCCTTTATATTACAGTCAGGGCAGTATATTAATTTTTTTCTTTAAAAATACTTTTTATTGAAATGTAACATACATACATAAAAGCACACGACTTGTAACTGTATCGCTTACTGAATTTTCATGAATTGGACCCAGCCATGTAACCACCAGAGTAAGAGACAAAACATTAGCAGCACCCCAGAAGCCCCCTTTATGCCACTTCTGGTCACTACTGCCCCCCAGGGTAGCTACTAAGTTTTGCTTGGTTTTGAACTTTGTATAAATGGAATTTATATAGCACATATTCTTTCGTGTCTGGCTTCTTTCACTCAAAATTACATTTGTAAGATTTGTCCGTGCTGTTGTGTGCTCTTGTGGTTCATTCATTCTCACTGTTGTGTAATCTCTTCCATGGGTTTGCCGTTATTTAGTCATCCATTCTGCTGTTGATGGGCATTTGGGTGGTTTCCTATTTGGGCTTAAATGATATCTTTTCATTGTAATTTTCTACCTATTTATTTTTAACTACTTTTTGTACATAGAAATGTAACTAATACTTTGATTTTTTTATTCAGCAAACTTGATAAACTATTATTAATTCTGGTAATTTACCTGTGAATGATGATTTCATTTCTTTCTTTCTAATCTTTGACTGTTGTATTTCTTTTTGTCTTATTGCTCTGGTCTGGCCCGGACAATACCAAATAGAAAGTGATGGCAGACATACCCAACCTCTAGTGGAAACTTCCACGTTCACCAGGAAGTATAGTGTCTGTTGTAGGTGTTTTTGTAGATACCAATCTTATATTAAGGAAGTTTCCTTCTGGTCATAGTTCTCTAAGAGTTCGGGGGTTTGTTTTAATGAGAAATCAGTGTTGAATTTTATCAAAAATTCTTTCTGCATCTGTTGAGACAATCATATGATTTTTCTCCCCTTTTCTATAAGTGTGGTGAGTTACACTGATTGATTTTTACTAAACTTGCATCCCTGGAATAAACCCAACTTGTTATCCTTGTTATGTATTACTGGTTTTGGTTTATTAATGTTTTATTTAGGGTTTTTGCGTCTGTAATTTTGAGTAAGATTGGCCTGAAATTTTCCTTTCTCATATTGCTGTTGTCAAGTTTTGGTATCAAAGTTGAATTAACCTCACAAAAGGAATTGGGGCATATATCACCTCTTTCTATTTTCTAGATGTAACTGATCAAGAATTAAAGAGAAAAGGAACAAATAACCAAAATGAAAAAGGAGGCATCAACACACATACTACAGACATATGATAAAAAGATACTTTGACCACATTTGTGCCAAAAATTTTGAACATTAAGATAAAATGTAGGGCCGGCCCCGTGGCTTAGCGGTGAAGTGCACATGCTCCGCTGCTGGCGGCCTGGGTTCGGATCCCGGGTGCGCACTGACGCACCGCTTCTCCGGCCATGCTGAGGCCGCATCCCACATACAGCAACTAGAAGGATGTGCAGCTATGACATACAACTATCTACTGGGGCTTTGGGGGAAAAAATAAATAAATAAATAAAATTATTTAAAAAAAAAGATAAAATGTATAGGGCCGGCCCCGTGGCTTAGCGGTTAAGTGTGTGTGCTCCGATACTGGTGGCCCGGGTTCGGATCCCAGGTGCGCACCGACCCACCACTTCTCCGGCCATGCTGAGGCCGCGTCCCACATAGAGCAACTAGAAGGATATGCAACTATGACATACAACTATCTACTGGGGCTTTTGGGAAAAAAAAAGGAGGAGGATTGGCAATAGATGTTAGTTCAGAGCCGGTCTTCCTCACCAAAAAGAGGAGGATTAGCATGGATGTTAGCTCAGGGCTGACCTTCCTCACAAAAAAAAAGGGCAGAAATAATCATAAAAAAAAAAAAGATAAAATGTATAAGTACCCTAGAAAAGTACAATGTATCAAAATTGACACAAGAAAAGGTTAACTACGTAATCCTGTAAGTATTAAAAAAATTGACTCAGCAATTTAAAACCCTTCCTCAGAGAAAATGCCAAGCCCAGATGGCTTCACCAACTGGTACTAAACATGCAAGGAAGAAACAGCACCTATCTTACATATATATTTTTAAAACTTGGTTTATGCAGTATATATAATTTGAGAACATGATTTTTACTTTATAATAGATCGTGGACTTTTAATTATATGTTGTTCTACTATATGATTTTAATGGCAGAATGGTTCCATTATATGAGTAGTCTATAACCAGTTTAACAATCCCCCATTTTTTGGACATTTGGGTTGTTTCTTGTTTCCTTACAATTAAAAAGGGCTCTTCAGTGACTGTTTGAGTCACCATCTCTTTGTGCATATGACTGTGCACTTAGGAATAACTCCTAGAAGCATACTTTTGGGACAGAGAATATGTCATATATCAATTCTTTTGGTACCTATTTCCAACTTTCTGTTTAAAAAGTCATATTTATTTATAGTCCTACCAACAGAAAAAGACAGTGATTGTTTCTTCAATTCTCATCAACACTGGGTACTATTTTTTTTAAGTATTTAGAATAAAGTCTAAAGTTCTTGAGTTTTAGTGTCTTCGTGATCTGTTGCCTTCCCCATCTTGCTGCTCTCTCCTCACACTTCTTGCTCTGTCCATAGTGAGTTTCTTTTAATTTTTGAACCTGAGTTTGTCATACATCACATCCAGGCCCTCGTGTCTGCCACTGCTAACTGTCATCTTCAGGTTTTAGCTTAAACCTCACTTCTTCCCAGAGGTCTTCTCTCACCATGTAGACTAGCTTGGAGCCCATGATGTATTTTCACATATTTCCATGTAATTCCCATGTCACATGGTTTATCGTCCTTGTTAAAAATTTACTTGCTTAATTATCTGTCTATCTGAACAGAACGTAAGCTTCATGAGGTCAGAGACTGTATTTGTCTTCCTCACTGTGATATTCCTTACCTAGCACATGCCTGGCCTTCTATTTTGTTGAGTGGATTAATTGCCAGTTTTATAGGTGAAAAATAATAATTTGTCTTAATTTCTATTTCTTTAATTACTAATGAGCTTAAATATTTTTATCCTGTTGATTGGCCATCTTTACTTCTTTTTTTTTTTTAATAATTTTATTTATTTATTTTTTCCCCCAAAGCCCCAGTAGATAGTTGTATGTCATAGCTGCACATCCTTCTAGTTGCTGTAGTGGGACGAGGCCTCAGCATGGCCGGAGAAGCAGTGCCTCGGTGCGCGCCCGGGATCCGAACCCGGGCCGCCAGCAGCGGAGCGCGCGCACTTAAGCGCTAAGCCACGGGGCCGGCCCTTCCATCTTTACTTCTGAATTCTGCCTGCCACTTATTTTTCTATTGGAGTGTCTACCTTTTGCATGACAATGTATAGGAGCTTTTAACACATTATGGATATTGTTCCTGATAGATGGTTTTCTCTAGTAATTCCTTTATGCTTTGTGTAACAGATTCTGAGACTGGGACTGAGAAGGAAGTATTCATTCTAAACCAGAAGTGTTCTGAAGAAGTAAAAACCCCAGAATTGATAGCAAGAAGATTCTCAAGGGGTAATCCACAGGCACCCAAGGTGCAGGAAGCTTGGGACTGTAAGGGTCAACTAGAAGGACACCTGGGAAATTCTGATGGGCAGAATTTGAGGAAAACTCATCTTCACAAGAGAGGTTTTAGGAAAGAAACTGTTGTGTGTAGGGAAAGCTCTCCAGGAGAAAAAACCCAGGAGAGTGGTGCATTTGATAGAAACTTGAATCTGAACCAAAATGTTGTTAGACTTCAAAGAAATCAAACAGGAGAGAGAGGCTTTACATGTGAAACATGCAGCAAAACCTTCAAATATAATTCAGACCTAACTAGACATCAGAGAAGTCACAGTGGAGAAAAACCTTATGAATGTGGTCAGTGTGGCCAAGCCTTTACTCATAGCTCAAGCCTTCTTATGCACCATCGAGTTCACCCTGGAAATAAACCATTTAAATGTAATGAATGTGGGAAAACTTTTGGTCTCAATTCCTACTTCCTCCTCCATCAGAGAATTCATACTGGAGAAAAACCTTTTGGGTGTAGTGAATGTGGGAAGGCTTTCAGTCGAAGCTCAACTCTTCTTCAACATTGTATAATTCACACAGGAGAGAAACCTTACAAATATAATGAATGTGGAAAAGCTTTCAGCCAGAGCCCACAATTAACACAGCATCAGAGAATTCACACTGGCGAGAGACCCCATGAATGTAATCAGTGTGGGAAGGCCTTCGGTCGAAGTCCAAGCCTTTTTCTCCATCATAGGGTTCATACTGGGCTGGAGAGAAGCCCTATGTATGTAATGAATGCGTCAGATCCTTTGGTTTTAACTCTCACCTTACTGAACACGTAAGGATTCACACTGGAGAAAAACCCTATGTTTGTAATGAGTGCGGCAAAACCTTTAGTCGTAGTTTAACTCTTGTCCAGCATCGCAGAGTTCACACTGGGGAGAAACCCTATCAGTGCATTGAATGTGGGAAAGCTTTCAGTCAGAGCTCACAACTCACCCTACACCAGAGAGTTCACACTGGAGAGAAACCCTATGAATGTAGTGATTGTGGGAAAGCCTTCAGCCAGAGGTCAACCCTCACTCAGCATCAGAGAATTCATACTGGAGAGAACCCCCGTGGATGCAGAAAATGTGGTCCAGCCTTTGTTCACAGCTCCAGCCTTAGGCCACATGGCCAGATTCTAACTGGAGAGAAGCACTCTGTGTGTGATGGACGTGGCAGAGCTTTCAGCCATGGCGCAAACCTCGTTCTGCATTGGATGATTCACACTAGTGAGAAGTCCTTTGGGTGTGATGAATGTGGAAAACCTTTCAGTCCCACTTCACAATTCATTGAACATCAGAAAATTCATGCTGGGGAGAAGCTCTATAAGCACCATGGATGTGGAAAAGCCTTCAGCCAGAGCTCACAACTCACACTGCATCATCGAACTCGTGGGAGAGAAACCCCCTGTAAATGGTGAATCTGAAAGGTACTTTATTCATATCAAAAAGGTTTTCTAAGAAAAACATTTTTAATGTGATAAATGTGGGAAACAATTTAGCAATTGTTCATTTTATGTTGGATAGGATGGCATAATGAAAGTCAAGTAAGAAGGTCTAAATGTTACTAGCAAAGCAAACGGTTCAGATGACTATTAAGTCATTAAATTGGGAAGTAAACATAATAGAATTCATTCTGGAAAGTAAGGTTGATGTGCAGAGGTCAACATTGTGCTGGAAGGTGACCTGTGTGCTCAGGTGGCCACGAGGAACTTGTGGTGAATGAATGGAGGCCGTGAAAAGGGAGCTTGCTCAGTTCTGCACCGACTCAACCTGATGTATTTTGCCTCAGCTCTGCCCTCCTACCTAAGCCCAGACTTGTAGCTGAGATTATCTAGTTTCATTCCTACACACCTGCCTCCAGGTGAGTGCTGAGAAACTTGCCCCTTGGGCACATCCAAGCCTTATTTCCCCTCCTCAGGATGGTCTGGCTCATCTCCCCACGAACCCACAGGGTAACTGCAGGTGGGAGTGCCTTCCTTGCCTGGAGCCCCAGTGTGTGCATTTGTAACATCACTTTGGTTTATTTTTTCACCCTAAAGAGCTCTACAGTTCAGCCAAAGAGGGTACCTCGGGGCCAGCAAGGCAGGGGGCTTCCAAGTAGCTCTACTTTTGAAAATTATAGTTATTGATGAGTCAGGTTTATTGAGGTATAATTTATATGCAATAAAATTCACTCTTTTAAACGTACAGTTCTATGAGTTTTGACAAAAACACACAGTGATATATCCACCACCACAATCAAGATATAGAACATTTCCATCAACACCCAAAATTCCCTTGTAGTCAACTCCTCTTCATCCCCAGCCCCTAGAAGCCACTGGTTTGCTTTCTTTCCCTGTAGCCTCACATTTTCAGAATCATTTTGTGTGTAGCTTTTGGAATCTGGCTTCTTTCACTTAATGTAATGTATTGGAGATTCATCCATGGTGTTGCATGTGTCAATAGTTCATTCTTTTTTACTGTGCAATAGCTTTCTGCTGTATGCATATGGCGGTTTATCCATTCACCCATGGAAGGATATTTGGGTTGCTTCCAGTTTGGGGCAGCTATGAATAAAGCTGCTGTAAATATTTAAGACAGGCTGTTTTGGGAACCTAACTTTTCAGTTCTCTTGGGTAAACAGCTAGGAGTGGGATTTGGTTTATTTATTTATTTATTTTTCCTTTTTCTCCCCAAGGCCCCAGTAGATAGTTGTATGTTATAGTTGCACATCCTTCTAGTTGCTGTATGTGGGACACTGCCTCAGCATGGCTGAACAAGCGGTGCGTCGGTGCGCGCCCGGGATCCGAACCCAGGCCGCCAGTAGTGGAGCGCGCACGCTTAACTGCTAAGCCAGGAGGCCAGCCCCCTGCATTTGGTTTAATATTTGTTCTGTGATTTGCTTGACTTATTCCACCTGCTCATGTTCTCTCTCTCTTGTTATATTACTAAAATTCTTAAGCACAGAGCATCTTCTAAGTTTGGGCTTGGCTAGCCCCAGTGTGGTCTGTGTGGAAGGGTCTGCAGACCTCATCTGAAGGCCTGCATTCTAGTCCCCTTCTGCCTCAGGCTTCCTCTATGACTTTGGGTAAAGCATTTCATCTTCTAGGTCTTTTTCCTTGTCTCTAAAATGGGGATAAAAATACCTACCCCATTTAACAAATATCCTTCAGAAAAAGTAACTCTCCTACTCTTGTATCTCACAGCACAACCTTCATACCTACACCAGATTAAGCTCATATTTTCTTTTACTCTTTCTATTTGGTTCTCCTACGTTACACCTTTAGCTTTTAGCTGCCAGAGATTTTGTTTTAGGCACTTTTATATCTCCAGCACATGATACAGGTAAGTGCTTCAGACATGTTTGGGAAGGAAGAAAGGAGAGGAGGGAAGGAAGAAAAGAAAGGAAAACTGTGTCGTGAGTCGTTTCTGCTTGCGTCTTGTTTGTGAAGCATGCTGGGTGAATTACAACCAGTTTCCCTCCTTAGCTACCGGAGGGCCCCACACTGACATTTCCCTGAAAGGTCCACATCTCATTTTTGTGTCCAGTGGAAGCATTGGTGCAGGCAGGGCTTGTGTGGGGCTCTAACACTCTGCCTTTGTTTGCTGTGGAACCTAGGATGAGAATGTTAGTGGGAAAATTCATGGTTGGTTAGGCACCAAGGGAGTGAGGGAACACCCCAGGGTGAAAAATGAAGAGAAAAATGAAAATCAGAGCTTCAGTCTTGGAAACTGATGCTATGGCAGCTCTGGGGGCCTTGGCCTACTTACAGCCTCTGTGAAGACAATAGATGAGGCCTGGGTGACTCCAGGAGGATGGTGGGAACCTAGGCCCCTGTCCAAAGCTGGAGCCCCAGAGAGCTATACTCTCTATGTAAGATAAACTAGAAGAAATTCTATCTGCTTGCACAGATACGCTGGGCAGTCTTCATGAGTCAAGGAGCTGGAGCTGGGATTCTAGGAGGCCAAGGTGGCTAGAGGTCAAAGGGAGCAGAAGAAAACTGTAATGTACCAAACTGAACTAAATATCTGCAAACAAGCATTGTAGCTGTCAACCTTAAAAATAACAGCCAGTGTAAGTTCGGCACACTCGGCTTTGGTGGCCTAGGTTTGGTTCCCAGGTGCAGACCTATACCACTCATCTATCAGTGGCCATACTGTGGCAGCGGTTCACATATCACATACAAAATAGAGGAAGATTGGCAACAGATGTTAGCTCAGGGCGAATCTTCCTCTGCAAAAAATAAATAAAAATAATAAATAAATAACAGCTGGTTATTTTACCAGTTTATTTGGGAAAAACCAAAGAATTGCAATTCGGGTCCCACATGCTATGGCAAAAGCTATAGGCAAGTCCAACAATCAAAAGAGGAATGTTATTTTACGGGGACAAAGGAGGAAATTGGGAGGGTTGTTTTGAGCAAAAGTCTGTTGGAGAAAAGCAAGAGTTCACATGGTGATGGTTTCTCATTGGCTGAGCTGCTGCGGTAATTGATTTCTGTTTGGGATGCAATGTACATTTCTTCCTGTTGGGACCTGTAATTGACTATCTTCCTGTTGATGACTTTTTTTTTTTAATAATTTTATTTATTTATTTCTCCCAAAGCCCCATAGTTGTATGTCATAGCTGCACATTCTTCTAGTTGCTGTATGTGGGACTCGGCCTCAGCATGGCTGGAGAAGCGGTGCGTCGGTGCGCACCCGGGATCCGAACCCGGGCTGGCAGCAGTGGAGCCCGAGCACTTAACCGCTAAGCCACGGGGCCGGCCCTGATGACTTCTTTCTGTTGGGGTCTGTAATTGACTGTCTTTCCTATAATTGACCTCAAGTGGTCCCATGTGAGAGCTCCTCCTTCCAGCCTCCTGACTCCATCTTAAATGATTTTATTAATTTTCAGCGATATTGACAACACTTAGAATCAGATCTTTCAAACCAAAGAATGAAAATGGATCCCCCCCCAAAAAAAAAAAACAGGAATAAATTCAATGAGAGATCAAACACAAGAAGGAAGTTAAAGAAAAAGCCATCTTTTGAAGCCATTTATTCAACCTACTTCCAAATGGCTCAGGAAAAATTAGAGATGATAAAATAAATGGGGCACAAATTAAAAATTGATGAATCTGAATTAAGGTTATTTGGGAGTTCTCTGGATTATTGCAACTTTCCCATAAGCTTGAAATTATTTCAAAATAAAAAGTTTAAATAAAAAAGCTTAAAAATAAACAACTAATATCTTCTCTAAATGCATGTGATCCAAAAGCAAGAAATATTGACATACAGAAGATAACTACAGAAAAACTACAATACCTGCACCTGCTCTCATACTTACTAAACAAATTCCGTGGAGTCAGAGGAGAAAAAGGCTGACTACTTCTTCCATTTATTCTGAATTTTGTTCTCTTTTTGTCCATTTCCCTCCCATAAAATTCTCAGTGCCCTCCCTTTCCCCCTTCCCTTCCTACCTTCTTCAATTTTTGTTACCCAGAAGCTGAAAAATCAGTCTATTACTAAGTCCAATCTTAAGTCTATTAATTTATAAACTTTTAGCAAATAATTTATTGTCCTTTAATAATTTAAATCAGAATTAATAGGTTAGAAAGTTAAATGTTCAACTTAAGCTAGACAAAAAAATACTAAAACAAATCTAAAGAAAATAGAAAGAAATAATAAAGAGGAAAAAATGAACTTTTTAAAAAAGGGAACAATAGAGTGGATGAATAAAACCAAAAGCAGATTCTTTGAAAAAGATAACAAAAGCACAAGTGACAAAACAAAAACATAAATATTGGACCACATCAAAATTAAGAACTTTTGTGCTGCAAATGATACTATTAAAGTTTTCTTTTCACTTTTCACTATTAAAGTGAAAAGAAAACCCACAGAAGGGTGAAAATATTTGCAAACCATACATCTGAAATAAGGAGCTTGCATCCAGAACACATAATTCTTACAACTCAATAATAAAAAGATAACTCAGTTGAACAATTGGCAAAGGATTTGATTAAATATTTCTGCAAAGATGTACAAATGGCCAATAAGCACATGAAAAAATGCCCAGCATCATTAGCCATCAGGGAAACGCAAATCAAAACCACAGTGACATGCCGCGTCACACCCACTAGCGCGTCCATAATAAAAACGACAGACAGGAGCAAGTGTTGAGCAGGACGTGGAGCGACCAGAGCCCTCCTGTATTGCTGTATGTGCGGGGGATGCAGGAGGGGAAGGCAGACTGCTGCAGCTGCTTTGGAAAACAGTTTGGCACTTCCTCAAAA